AATGTTTTTTGTGTCAAGCACTTGTCAAACGCCATGGGCCTCGTGACGTCCAATTAAATAAGACCTCCATACCCAGTACGTCAGTTTGATATTTAGGTTCTGAATAAAATGGATGATGAGGATGATTGTCTATGGTCGGCTCAAATACTAGAGTGTTTCCGTAGCGTGTCTCGTAGACAGTGTCTACGACTTAGCTGCTTGTGTGCAAATCAAAGTGTACTTTGGTACATACTGAAAGTGCAAATATATTGATCTATTTACAAAATATGACGAGATTGGTAAACTAGTAATTTAAAGGGACATAAATATTGAATAAGAAAAACGGTTACAAATATGGAAGAAAGCAATAGCTCGTCGAGTAACCTTGCGAGTCCTATGAAACGGCTTACGCCGTCTGTTCCCATACCTAGATGGAACGACGAAGGCATACAGGTAAAAGTACACTTATTGCAATATTTAATATCATGCTTTCATACTCGTTACATCATAACTATATTAGACACATACTCATTACAGCAAATGGACATCGACAATCAAGATCCCAGGTCAAACAATGCAGAAAGCTCATCAATAAATCAACAATATGAAAACGATACAATACAAAATAGAGTGCCTGTTATCAACACTGTGAATTTAGTATCTCAGTCTAGTGCTCCTATCAGTGTGATACGGACACCTGTACAGAGACCAGAAAGTGCTCGTAGTGACTACAGCGCGTCTACGCAGCCCAGAGTACTTAGTGACGTAGTGTTAACTCCAACTCATAGTTCGTTTACACCTCAGCATGCAAATCCTCATAGTTCTTTGGCTGCCATTACACCAATGGTCAGCGGCACAGCACAAGCCAAAAACAGCATTAAAATACAGTGAGTTAAGTGGTAAATACAATATCTCTTAGATCCAAATTTGATTAGAAAAAGAAAACCTGATGTGAGTTTAATTTTTCAGAAATTGTGTATCTACGGTCAGTTTAGGGTGCGAACTGAAATTGCTGGATATTTACTGCAAAACTAGGTTTTCAGAATACAATCCTGCAAGGTTTCAAGGAGTGGTTATGAAAATACTTGAACCACGGGCAACTGCTCTAGTTTTTCGGTAAATCAAATATTACTTAAATTATGTGGGTCATGAATCACGATAAATATAAAACCTACCACATAAAGTAACCTATTAGAACCCTATTAACTGTAATAAAATAAAAGTCTATAGTTTGCTCTTTATGTATAATTGTCACAATGTAGTAGGCTTATTCTGACTGCTAAGACTGATGATAGACATAATGAATGAAATCAACAAAACAATAAACAAATAATTACGAACCCAATGGTTTTAAAAAAGGCATTAATTTTATTATACTACAGAAGACTTCAAGTCTTATTTTTGTATGAATACCAAAAATGCAATTTTGAATTACTATAATCCATTTGAAAAACAATCGTATACTCAATCCATTTTATCTTTAATAATAGTTGTAACCAATCTATTGCACCAATTGCGTTTGATTTTACCTAAAAATACTAACTTTCTTAAAATAAGTTCAAGAGTAGTACATAAAGTAGTAAAGCCAGGTTCTTAGACTATGGAAACCAAAGGACATGTTATATTGACATATATAAATCAGACGTTATATGTATGTATATGATGCATTTAGACAGTGAAAACATAAACATTTTATTGTCTTTGTTTAACTACTGCATGCAAAAGTAACAGCACTACATTGATTTATGTCAAACACGGGAATCGAAAATACGTACCGTCATCTTAAATGCCAACTGTCCTCATTTTACCATTTTTGGAGTACCCTTTGACATCCATATCCGGTTGTCAAAGGGAAGTACACCAAATGTCAAAACCAATGTTTGGCCAAATGTTTTAGTGAATTATTCACATGGATTGTAATGAAATGGACAAAAATATTGACAGTGAGAACAATTAAGTATTGATAAAAATGCGTCGCTGCAACATTAAGGGGTGCGGCAGTAGAAAAAGCGGAACTCAACCGAATGTTACATTACACCGGCATTTGTTATTTTTCTGCTTATAAATCATACAATAGATATGAGATGAGATATTTCGTCTCATGTACGAGTAATTGGACTCATTTAATAAGTCTTGCCGAATTTTGCTTTGGTTACTTTAGATTGCCTGTTTGTTTATTTTGAGATAGTGTTGTCTTGTAAGTACACATTATCGACACTATGTTATTGAAATAATTCACTACGAGGTTTTTATTATTTTTAAAGTATATCTACAAATGAAAAAAGAATGAAAGAATGGTTGGAAATTATAGGACTGCCGAACATAAATATTGGGTCAAATACCATCTTAGTTTGTTCGCTCCATTCAAATTTAAATAGAACTTTGAATGTAACTGTATTACATGATAATGCAATTCCATCGTTATATTTATTGGTAAATAACTTTATATTTAATTTTGATTAAAATGGCTCATTACTTGCCTAGTAATTATAGTCTAGTATTAATCATACTTTGATTACATTAAACTACACAAATTTGCAAACATAAAACATAGTAACAACAGTTTCAACATTCAAGCCATACATTTGCATGTAGATATTGACTTATATATAATTATGGTACAACACTAAATCTGCCATTTGTGGTGGATATTTTTGGTTTAGGTAGGGACGTTTATTCCGTAGACAAGGCAACTCCTTTCCTTTATTTTTTTCCATCCTCTAAGGCCAGGTTACATTTTCTTTTTTTTGCAAATTTTCAATTGACCACACTGATTTCTACTAAAGGCCCATTTAGATGGAGAGAGTTTATCGCACGCTTCGTGACGAAAAATATACGCGCTTATCGTAAGAAATAATCGCCATAAGATTATCGTATCATAATGTTTACATTCAGGCAAGAACTAAAATCGCGCCTACGATTATGTCATACGAGATTCGCGAGCAACTTAATCGCCTCCTCGACTGTTTACACAGAGAAATATGTAGTAAGGAGATTTTTACTTACGAGTTTTCGACTTGTCTAAACACGATCTCGTATGACATTTTTTCAAGTTCATACGATTATCGTACAAATCGGTTCGAAACGTTTTGAGTGCGAGAATCGTCATTCGAGTTCAGTGATTACTGCGGTATTGACTATGAATATATCAAAATGACGCAAAAATCATTCAAATTTGGAACGGCCGATAATGTTAAGTTCATTGCTCTGTATAGAAATACATATTATTTTTAATTTTTTTTTTAAATTTTATAACATTTCGAACTCTTTTTTTCCTTTTCCTTTCCTTAATTCTTGTCTTAGAAAAGCAGTGATAATCAAAACACCCTCGCGCACTGTACTCAGGATAGAAACGGCTGGCACAAAAACTCGAAAAACGATTTTTGCTTTTAAGTTTTGTTTACACGAAGACGTTCAATATTGAAAGACGAGGAGATTATCGTTCACGTGGAAGGGCGATAATCGCGAATGTTTAGACGAGAAAAGTTTTTTATATTCTTTTCATAATCGTATCTTCGAGACGAGAAACTCTCCATCTAAATGGGCCTTTACTCTGTATGTTGCGATGACAGGTGTCAAAATGGGCCTATTTGATTGTGACAATAATAATCTTTATCTATTTATCAAGTAACTAAGATTTAACTTATAATAATTCAAAACTATACTACAGGTCTGGAAAAATTGTATGCACAGGAACTAGAAATGAACATGACTCTTACATTGCTGCTAGAAAATTTGCAAGAATCATTCAGAAACTCGGGTTCTCTGTGAGTGCTCACTATTAAAATACTCTGAAAAAGTTTTGAACAAAAACTTAATTTTTAAATTAACAAACCACATAATAGATTACTTTCATTTTCAGGCAAAATTTTTAGATTTTAAAATTCAAAACTTCATAGCAACAGCAGACTTAAGATTCCCAGTGAGGCTAGAGGCTTTGCAACAAGCTCATGGCCAATTCACGTCTTATGAACCAGAACTGTTCCCTGGACTAGTATACAGGATGGTTAGACCAAGAGTTGTGTTACTGATTTTTGTTAATGGAAAAATAGTATTCACAGGTAAATGACAAAATATCAAATGATAATTTGAATGTTTAACATCAAAACTGCAGAAAATGAATTTATTTGCAGGAGGAAAAACAAGGAATGAAATCAATGAGGCATTAGACATTATTTATCCAATTCTCAGAAGTTACAGGAAGAGCTAATCGAATAGACCAAGAATTATAATGTTAGTTAATTATTGCAAGTATAATTATTTAAATATTTACTGTAATAATAGGTAATGCGATTATATTATATAATTATTTGAATTGTGGTAAATTACTTCAATGATTTGTTTTGAGTACATTATATTATACTCAATTTAAGTTTGTGAAACAAATCTAGACATAAGTAAAACAAGGACATTTTGAGTGATGCTCTTTTATTTATTTTATTAATTGTGCAAAATATTATTCTAATTTATAATATTATTATGAACTAATAGTTCACATTGATCAAATACTAAGTACACATTTATTTATAACTTAATTAGCTTATGAACCGCAACTAAAGCACGCATCCTTGTTTTGCAAGGAACAAGTAATTGCAGCCATGTCAGCCTCATCTCTTTCAGAATCCCTCTCAGGAAGAATGCCGTTACCGTTTGTCACCTTTGTCTGCACTTTGGATTTGTCAACTGTAAACTGAATTGCATTTGCGGCAGGCTTAGTGCGCAAGTAGTACATTCCTGTTTTCAAACCCATCTTCCAGGCATAAAAATGGATTGATGTCAGTTTTCCGTAGTTTGGTTCAGCAACATGGATGTTGAAAGACTGGCTTTGGTCAATAAAAGCTCCCCTGTCAGCAGCCATCTGTATAGTGGTTTTTACAGATATTTCCCAAACAGTTTTGTAGAGATCTCTAATTTCTTTGGGTATAGCTTCAATATTTTGAATAGAACCGTTGTTATGAATAATAAGATTCTGCATGTCCTCATCCCATAAATCGGCTTGAGTCAAATCATGCAAGAGATGGTGATTCACCACTTGGAATTCTCCAGAAAGTACTCTTCTTTGATATATGTTTGAAGTGAATGGTTCAAAGGACTCATTGTTACCAAGGATTTGAGCAGTAGAGGCTGTGGGCATAGGAGCCAACAGAAGTGAATTACGAAGTCCATGCTTGGCAATTTTCTCTTTAAGAGCAGCCCAATCCCACAGGTCTGTAGGGGTCTTGTTCCACATGTCATACTGCAGAATTCCCTGGCTTGCAGGAGAACCTTCATAAGTCTCATACACCCCATCTTTCTCAGCAAGTTCGCAACTTGCCTCCAGTGCACCATAATAGATGGTCTCAAATATTTGCTGATTATACTTCATTGCAGATTCACTTTCATAAGGAATGCGCATTAACACAAAGGCATCTGCCAGACCTTGTACCCCAATACCAATGGGCCTGTGTCTCATGTTAGAGTTTCTTGCTTCAGGAACAGGATAATAGTTATTATCTATGATTTTATTCAAATTTTGGGTAATAATTTTGGTTACTTCCTTCAATTTCATGAAATTGTATGTTTTGTCTTCATTGACAAACATATTGAGTGCAATAGAAGCCAAGTTGCATACAGCAATTTCATCTGCTGAAGTATACTCTACAATTTCAGTGCATAGATTGCTGCATTTAATTGTACCTAGGTTTTTTTGGTTACTTTTCCTGTTGCATGCATCTTTGTACAGCATAAATGGTGTACCAGTTTCTACTTGTGCCTCAATGATTGCCTTCCACAAAATCTGTGCCCTAACCTGCCTAATATACCTCCCTTCTTGTTCATATTTTTCATAAAGAGCTTCAAACTCATCTCCCCAACAGTCAGCTAAGCCAGGGCTGTTATGAGGGCACATTAGACTCCAGTTTTCATTGTTTTCCACTCTCTTCATGAACAAGTCAGGTATCCAGAGTGCATAGAACAGCTCTCTGGCACGGACTTCCTCCTTTCCAGTATTCTTTTTGAGATCTAGGAACTCAAAAATGTCGCCATGCCATGGCTCCAAATATATTGCAAATGCTCCAGGTCTTTTATTCCCACCCTGATCAACATACCTAGCTGTGTTGTTGTATACTCTGAGCATGGGAACAAGGCCATTGGAGACACCATTTGTGCCAGCAATGTATGTCCCTTTGGCTCTGATGCAATGTACATGGACTCCAATTCCACCCGCAGATTTCGAAATGAGTGCACATTGTTTCAATGTGTCATAAATACCTTCAATACTATCGTCTTTCATAGCAATGAGAAAGCAAGAGGACAATTGAGGTCGGGGAGTTGCAGCTGAGAATAAAGTGGGGCTAGCATGTGTAAAATACTTCTCTGACAACAGGTTGTATGTGTTGATGGCAGCGTCAATATCATCACCATGGATTCCAATAGCTACACGCATAAGCATGTGCTGAGGCCTCTCTGCCACCTGTAATTGTTATATGTGTCATCTTAGTTCACATTTTGCACTTGATAATAATAAATAACTAGAAATAACAGGTAAGATGCATGTATTTTTTACTATTTTACTTCCATCCAAAACTAGATATTAATTACCTTCTTATTTAGCTTGAGAAGATAAGACCTCTCAAGGGTTTTGAATCCAAAGTAGTTATATTTGAAATCTCTGTCATAGACAATGGCTGAGTCCAATCTCTCCTTATTCTTCATGATTATGTCATAATGGTAGTCAGAAATCATTGGAGCCTTCTTCTTGGTGAATGGATTAATAATATTATAAAGATCTGTCATAACATCTGAAATCAGGAGATAGTTTCATAATTAATTTTGAAGCATTTTTTAGAATTGAAATAAAAAACATTAATGCTTACCTTATCGAGGTTTAAAAAATCTGGAGCAATAGTAGTAAAAACAAGTTAGTGTTATGTTTGGTAGAAAAATTGTAACAAATTTGATTACATATAATTCCCACAGATTTTGCATCCCAATAACATACAGCCAGTGTTGGGCAAAATTTAATTGTTCTGGCAATTAAAGATTGACAATTGATTAATTGTCAATTGCGAAACAGCAATTAACGATTGATCAATTGTTAGTTGCGAGAACCGCAATTAACAATTGATAATTGACAATTGATAATTAATCAATTGTTAATTGCGGTTCTCGCAACTAACGATTGATCAATCGTTAATCGCAAATATCTACAATTAACAATTAATCAATTTTCAATCTTTTCAATGTTTTTGATTAACAATTAAAACTGACAATTATGATAAATTTATAAGGCATATGGGGGTGAGTTAGGGCGTTGGTTGTGGGGGCCGGTTGGGGGCCTGCTGGGGGCAGGTTAGGGGGCCCGGTTGGAGGCCCCGGTTGGGAGCCCCGCTTGTGGTCTCCGCTTGGGGGCCCCGTTTGGGGTCCCCGCTTGTGGTCTCCGCTTGGGGGCCCCGGTTGGGGTCCCCGCTTGGTGTCCCCGCTTGGGGCCCCCGGTTGGTGTCCCCGCTTGGGGCCCCCGGTTGGTGTCCCCGCTTGGGGCCCCCGGTTGGTGTCCCCGCTTGTGGGCCCCAGTTGGTGTTCCCGCTTGGGGTCCCCAGATAACTGCCTCCGTGGCCGAACGGTTACCATGCCGGACTGCCACGCAGAGGTCCCAGGTTCGATTCCCGGGCCGGGAGAAATATTTGTATGGCCTACATTTATTTCTCTCGTGAGTTTGGGTGTAATTTGTGGTTGTCTATATGTGTGTCCATGGCACCCGCGACACAGGGTTTCCCTAGTGCGGGGCTATGTTGAGTGTGTGCGTTATTAATTAAAATCAATTCAATTGCAATTAAAATCAATTGCAATTAAATCAATTGCGACGCGTTGCAATTGATTTAATTGCAATTGATTTCAATTGAATTGATTTTTTAATCTGATTGAATTATTGATTGAAATTTAATTGATTAACGCCCAACACTGCATACAGCTTATAAAATGTGAATATAACTATTAATTATATACCTGAGAAATGCTTTTTAGTCTCCTTATGTAAGTTGGATATAGCCAGTCTTGCTGCAAGCACTGCGTAGTCTGGGTGGTCAGTAGTCATTGTAGCAGCTGTCTCTGCTGCTAAATTGTCCAGTTCTACTGTTGTCACTCCAGAGTAAATACCATTGATAACTTTTAGTGTTATAGACACCTGTTAAAATGATAGTTTAAAATGCTTATTTATTCTCCCAAAAAGAAATTCTTATAAGATGCGCCTATACAGCTCTCCTTATCATAACTAATGTAAACAACATTTTTAGCAAAATTGAGTTAACATATTTGAAATCAGCAAAAATTTCCTTTTATTAATCAAATAAAAAACTAGGTGTCATATCTGGAAAGATACCAAAATGCGAATGCGTTAGTCATAACAAGGAGGACAGTACAGCACTATTACAAAATCCAACTTACAGGGTCTACAAAGTCCATATTCAGGCCATAGCATAGTTTTTTAATCCTAGAAGTGATCTTGTCAATATGCACCTCTTCCACCCTACCTCCTAAAATTGTAACATTGAACAAAATAATGAGATTACAATAATCAATAATTCAAACACAATGTAACTCCACAATCTTAACCAAATATTTATCTTACATCTGTATAGATTAACTTTTTAAACAAAAAAATTATGTCAATTAAGTTGTGGTCTTGGTGGTCCAACAACTTGAACTGCTTGTGTGAGGTCCAACGTTCGATTCTCGCTAGGACCAATTTGAGACATTAAAATTTATTGGTTTTGGTTTGACTGTTCCGGGAGTGAATTAGGACCTATAACCATTAAACTCTTTGTATTAGGTGATGGTTAATAAGGATAGAGCTTAGAGACACTTCTTACCTCGTTTGTGAACGTATAACTTGTTACTTTTGCCAACCATGGTGTAGATTTTTTGTAAGGTGGGTTAAATCAAAGAAATGCAAGAAAAAAGCTGGCTTTAAAATTTTTGTCGAGAAGAAACTGAGCCAACACCTATCACTTTAGCCACCGTTAAGATTGATTGACAGCGGAATGCGCGGGAAATTTTTTTTTTTTAATTTGTTAAGGCTTTGGCAAAGCCAAAAGTCTAAACATGAAGTTTAATTGTTTCTGTAAATATGGCCGCCAAAAAGAGGATAGGCAATATAAGGCGGCGTACTTGGATTGACTCGGGATTCCTTAAAACGGGCCGATACGGGTATTTTAGTTCCGAGATTCGTATAATTTCGCGTTTTAATCTTCGATTAAGGTACAATAGCACTATCCTATTCCACTAACTTAGATTTCACAAAATAATTGAAAGTCAAAATAAAACCGACACTTTTCCCTCCAAAAGGCCCATGTTGGAATGGAAAGCTCATAGTATGTTTTACGTTTAGAAATATCTTTTGCAGTTTTATTTAGCGTGAATTATAAAATAAACTTATAGCTAAAAGCCAAACAGATAGAAATAGACAGAAATAAGGAAAACGAGATTTCGGGTCGTATTCCAGAAATGTACTCAATATCAAGTCATGACTTGAGTATGATTTCAGGCACTATAAACTTTCAGAAATCATACTCAAGTCCCGACTTGAGCGAATACGACCTTTAAGAAGATTTCACAACAGCAAAAACCTCCAACAACCACACCACCGCCACTTGTTGTTGGCTCCATCGTTTTCGTTCAGTAACATCATCTTTTGACAGATGTCAATGTCAAATGTGGAAATTAAAGGAAAAATATTCGAAAAAATATTTATTTTTCTGAACAATATGATTGGAAAAAGAACGGAAAATTTTCCATGACCCAACACTAAATCACACATAGTAAAATATAATCAATAAAACCAGTGCGTGTCAGATTCAGATTCCCAAAATTCAGAAACAGAATTTCAAAAGTACCCAGAACCAAAAAAAATTGGTATATAGTTTGACAATAATAATTGATTGTATTATAATAGTAGTACCCTAATCAGAATGTATTGAAGTAACATACTTAAAAGTGTTTTGAGTTTTGAGTCCGACAATTCTCTCAGAACTAAAGTGGAGTGACTTCAAATGTAAAGCTAATATTAACGAGAGTCAAGATGAAAACTTCTCAAGTCTCATTGGACGGGCGGGAATACGACAGTACATCATTCGTCATAGGCCTAAGTCTCGCGATATCATCAAGTGTTTTCATTGGCTCTAGCTTTATAATTAAGAAGGTGGCATTGAAGAAAATTAGCTGTTCGGGAAATGTTCGGGCGGCGGCTGGAGGCTATTCCTACCTAAAGCAATGGTTGTGGTGGTTAGGGTTAATAACAAGTGAGTATTTATTTTCCTCTACTTTAAAAGAAAAGCTTGTGAGTCATTTGATGTGTCACAAATCTCTATTAACCTATGATTAATTTTCAGTGGGAATTGGAGAAGCAGCAAATCTGCTCGCATATGCTTTTGCACCAGCTGCACTTGTAACTCCATTAGGAGCTCTTAGTGTGCTTGTTGCAGCAATACTCGCATCCAAATTCCTTAACGAAACACTCAACTTTGTTGGAAAGGTATGGTATTATTTTTTTGCTCAACTGTACTTAGCTGTTGTTTATTTAATAATATGTGTATATTGCAGTTGTGCTTATTTTGGGACAAATAAATCATGTCGCAACTAAATTTCTTTTTTAGGAAAAGCAAACGTTTTAAGGAAAATAATTTTTGAAAATCATGTAAAACTTAGCAATAGACCACTTTTCACACTAGCTACACAAATGATTTTGAACAAACCACATGCTAAATTGCCACACTACTATCCTAGAACGATTTTGCACTTGCCTTGATTCGATTATAGTATATTTCTTTCATGCCATCCATTCATTTAAATAATTTTGTTACTTTGTAATTTTATTCTATGTGATTTGTGATTTCTGTTTGTTTTTGTAACATTCTCAAAACATTTCTACTTCTATGTGCATTTGAATGAGTAATTCTTTTTTTGTTTCAGATTGGATGTTTCCTATGCATTATTGGCTCTGTAATGTTTGTTATACATTCACCAAAATCTGAAGAGATCAAAACATTCCATGAACTTACTTACATGCTGTGTGATTACTTTTTCTTAAGTTATGTACTTATAATGTTTTTAATGAGTTTCATCATCAAAGTTGTCTTTGTGCCTAGATTTGGCAACTCCAATATAGCTGTGTATCTATTGTTATGTTCTGCCATTGGCAGTCTCACTGTAGTATTTTGCAAAGCAGTAGCATTAGGCATAAAGGAGTCCATTACTGGTGATAACAATAATTTGACTAACTATATGTTCTGGCTACTTTTGGGCACATCTATAGTGTGCATCATGATACAAATGAATTTTTTAAACAAGTCTTTAGACATATTCAACACTAGCATTGTCACTCCTATATATTATGTAATGTTTACAGTACTTGTAATTATTGCTTCAGGACTGTTGTTCAAAGAATGGGAGCATATGAGCCCCAATGATATTTTAGGGTGTATCTGCGGTTTCTTAGTAGTAATGGTTGCTGTATTTATGCTGAATGCTTTTAAAGATATTAATATTTCATTTCGGGATATAAATCTGAATGATAGACATAGAAGAAATCATCCAACATTGGAAACTGGCATAGGTTTGATAAACCATACAAGAATTCAAAATGACCAGTTATGACAACAGGTTAAGTCTTGGATGCCATACATTTTAAAAAAACTTAATAGATAAATAAAGATAGAAAGAAATGTTAAGTGAAAATATGTGATCAGTATTGAGTAAAATGTTATTGTAACTACAAACTATATAATTAGCCTGAAACATTCAACAGCAGGTTACAATTAGTTCATTGGTATGGTACATAACTTTTTTTTTCTTGGGAAACTATGATCTATATAAAGTGGTCCCTACCGCCCCCTAGTAGTTCAATAGCGGCCTGGGAATCAATTGTGAGGTGTTGATGCTAATAGAGGGTGCTACCGCATTTGGAAAGAAAAACACCTGCATTATCTATATAAACTACACTACAAATATATAATTTTTCCTCATGATATGTTTGTGAAGTTAATATAAAAAATAATGTGTTTTCAATTATTTTTTGTGGTGGTGAGGAAATTTTTTATCTTGCCTAAGTAGTGAGCAAAAAAAATGGGGAACCTATGCTATGGATGATCAAGTACATTGTGTAAGATTAATTATTTAAGTAAATACCAAAGGCATGTAACTATTAAGTACCTAAGTGAAAGTATAACACTATGATAGGTAATTAGACAATAAAAAGTACAAAAATAGATCTTTTTAATTATATTATGAAATATATCTCTTTTATTAACACACTACACATTTTAAGTCACCTTATAAGTACTTAACTTCCATATAGATAAAATCACATAGAAACCCTAGTTTTATACTACAATATAAAATTGAAATGCACAATATAAAAAATGCTTATAACAACAACAATGTACACACATACAGTCAATGAAGAAATTAGATAAGGAATTCCAGTGATGCACAATACACATTTGCATTCTTTAAATCACTCTTAAAACAATTGATCAATTATAATCTTCATGTCCTACACCTTTACCAAAATCATAACTAATTTTTAGAAAATGTTTTGATTAAAGTCAGTAATAAACATTTTCATATCAAGCACTTACTATCACAAATATACAGTGACAGAATGGTATATGAAAGTCCTGCAGATAGGACAAGTGCGTTGGTACCCATACAATCGCATGCAGCATTCAGTGCACAAGCATACATGTCTACACGGCAGTGTCAATACGCATTTTTGACGTTCCTGACAAATCACGCAGAGAGCATCAGATGCATTCTCATCATCAACTGGTGGACTTTCGTCTATGTCCCTCGACCTTATCTCTTGGCCACCAGACATACGTGTTATCTCCCTCACCTCAGGGTCAATGAAGTAATTATAGAAAGCATAATAATAGTACCACATTTTCCTCACCGCAGCCCAATACAATGTAGTTAACTGAGATTGTATACACTCTCTAAAATGTACACAGAGGCGTACAATCACAATGGTGCTTGTTAATCCAATAAATGACTCCAAAGGCACATCAGTCAAAAAATTTGTTACTTTTAGTAAGGCCATATAACAGTCCACTATCCAGGCCACTACAACATCTGTAACATTTCTGAAAACGGCCCTCATGAGTAGTGGAAGGTGCACTGGTATAAATGTCAATATAAACCATAATGTGTCTCCAATAAATATTATTGTATTCTTGAAAAGCAACAGCACTTCGTACACTATTAAGATCACTGCATCTACAAACCACTTTACTGTAGTAAATATTGCACTTACTTTGAAACCTATACCATTAAACACGAATAAAACACCATTTTGTAATTGCGTACATTGTTCGCTGATTATGTTGATCACGTTGGTTGCAATGGCCGGTAATTCTTCAGTAAACACAGGTATGTTATCTTCGTATACAATTTGAAAAAATAATGCCACATTCTCTATAATATTCAGTAACGCAGATGAGATTCCAGTTAGCACGGAAACGATAACTTTTCCGATTAGCCATGCGATATGGAATACGCTTTGGATAGTAGCCGCAAATAAATTTATTACTTTTGCTATGTAGGAAATCATTTTTACATTTCATTGTAGTGATGATACCTGCTAAATAAATAAATCTAAGTGAAACATTTTTTAACAGTATACTATACTGAAATGTTTTTGAATTGACAGTGACAGAAAGTGACAGTATTTTTTTTTACCTTCCTTCAGTTTGCAAGATTCGCTCTGGGCATTTTGGAAGGAAAAGTGTCGTTTTTATTTTGACTTTCAATTATTTTGTGAAATCTAGTTTAAAGTGGAATAGGATAGTGCTATTGTAACTTAATCGAAGATTAAAACGCGAAATTATACGAATTTCGAACTAAAATACCCGTACCGGCCCGTTCTAAGGAATCCCGAGTCAATCGAAGCACGCCGCCTCAAATTGCCTATTCTCTTTGTGGCGACCATATGTACAGAAACAATTAAACTTCATGTTTAGGCTGATGGCTTTGCCAAAGCCTTAATAAATTAAAAAAAATCAGTTTGCAACAGCCAAAGGTCAGAAACCATACTGCACACTTTAACGTACTTTTCGTTCAGTAACTTCAATTCTTGACAGGTGTCATCGTCAAATGTGGAAAAATATCCGGAAAATGTTTATTTTTTGAGAAATAAATGATTTTTTCAAAATAGATATTTTTCCCTAGGCTCAAAAAAGCTTCTTGCTTGAATCCCAAATGGCGGGCTTTTGAAGTTACAATTACAAGTACAATTTTTACAAAGATTAATATTTTATTTTAAGTATACACCTTGCATTTTTAGCCTAGATAAAATTTTATATAAAAATATAGTTAGCATCGAAGAAAAAGTTTTCTCCGATATTTTAAATTCAAATTTTCAATAAGGAGATGACGTTTAGTATACCAGTTTCAAAGTTGCATAATAGCATTTTTGGGCAAGCAAGCTTTGTTTAAGCTAAGCATTTAATATTGAAGATACAAGGTGGCTCGAATTATGTATCCGGGAGTATATTACGAAGAAAATAGTGATGAAGAAAGTTAAAGCTATATTCCTTATTTTAAACCAAATTACGAAAGAGTTTATCCTGAAAATTCCAATAATTACGAATTCAAAGTTTTTATTCAAAGGAAAATGTGTTTAAGTGAAAGTGAAAACATAAATATTGATTCCCGCTGCTTAAAACTCTATTTAGAAAGCCCAAACAAGAGAACTAAGTTATGAAAGTGAAAACATAATGTTGTAGAACCACAATGGAAAATACTTTAGAGGATCCCGATAATTAAACAGACATGGTTCATAGAACTTATATCCAAGCCAAAACTCTTAATAAAAAAAATCGTTTGAATACCTTCAAGTATTTTTTCATATTGCAACTTTGTATGTAAAACGTGTCAAAGAAACGTCAAACTCGAACAGCTGTCATTTCTTTACACAAATTGTTCTTTTCCTATAGACACAAAAGTTGAAGTCGAAGTGATTTTCCAAGAATTGTACAATAATAAGCGTGATTTTTCTTAATGAAGACTGACAAATTTTCAGTCAATCGTAGTACAAAAGCGTCTACCCTGTTACCTATTAATTAGAATGCGATGCTCCCTCGTCGTCGCAACGTTGGAGGTGTGTCGGATCGCACACCATTGATCGAAAACGAAGACTCCTACAGCAAACTAGACAAGAAGGGATCGTCATATGCAAAGCCCTATGCGCCTCTAGCGTACGCACAACCAAGTCGTTCCACATTTGACAGTCCTGAGCAAGATTTCGTATTTGACTTCTTGGAAGATTTTGTTTTCGAACCAGTAATGGCTGCCCGAGATAGGACTAATGAGTTCGCTGCGGCTGTCCGCAGCTTACAGGGAAGAACACTAGTGCGGCCAGTGGTGCGCGATGAGCGCAAGGTCGCCATTCTCGAGACATATTCTCAATTTATGGGCATGGCAAAAGTCATAAGCAAAAACATTACAAGCACTTATGCCAAATTAGAAAAATTAGCCTTGTGTAAGTAAATGTACCTTACGTACATATACATTGTTATTTCCTATAATAGCGTGTTGTTTATTAATTATTTTAGTGGCCAAGAAGAAGTCCTTATTTGATGATAGGCCAACAGAGATACAAGAGTTGACATACATAATTAAAGGAGACATAAGTTCTCTCAATCAGCAAATTGCGAGACTGGGAGAGATGCCCCGAGGTCGCCACAGTATGCACAGCCACTCTTCCAGTGTAGTACTTGCATTACAATCACGACTTGCATCGATGAGTAACCAGTTCAAACAGGTAATCATTTCATTTAAAATATTAGTGTGTTGAACCATATTCTATGTTACTGCTTAACTCACAACAGTGTCAGTGTCATATCACTGCTTTTCATGAATACTGGCCTAAATCAAAATCATGTGACAACATTGAGCAGGTACAAAATTTGTCAGCTTTGTGAGTTATGTGCAGGACCTGCCGCGAATGAAGCTAAGCTTAACTTGCTTCATGCTTAATTTTTTTAAATCATCTTGATGAATTATGTTTCTTTAGAAAACCATTGATATGTATACAAACATATTCAAATGTAGGCAAACAATAATCAAAATAGGTAAAATTATCGTTAAAATACACTTGTAGAGTTTTCCCCACAAGTATTCTTACATAATTTAGAATTTTCTTTTATAGTGTAAATTGCCAATTTAATAATTTTTGATTTTAGGTTTTAGAAGTACGATCAGAAAACTTGAAGCATCAAAATAACAGACGTGAGCAATTTTCAAGAGTGGGACCTATTGTAAAAGAGGTTCCCTCTCTACTGCAGCAGGATGAAGTGAGCATAGACCTTGGGGATCATCCTCAGTCCAGCTTACAGACCCAGCAGTTAGCTTTACGAGATGATAGTGAATTGTATATGCAGCAAAGAGCTGAGACCATGCATAACATAGAGAGTACTATTGTTGAGTTAGGAGGTATTTTCCAGCAACTGGCACATATGGTGAAAGAACAAGATGAAGCCATAGGCCGGATTGATGCCAACATCCAAGAAACAGAAATGAATGTAGAGGCAGGTCATAGAGAAATCATGAAGTATTTTCAAAGTATTACAGGCAACAGAGCTCTCATGTTCAAGGTGTTTGGAGTGTTGATATTCTTCTTCATATTTTTTGTTGTGGTCATGGCTTGAGTTGAGCTTTTCCATTTTAGGTCGTGGGGTTAGTATAACCGGTGTAGTAAATTTACCAGCATTCCAGTCTTGCTATATCTGTTCTCATACCATTTTTACCTAATTAAATCCATCATTCTACTTTTGATTCAAAGAAACATTTATTTTTAGTAACATTATATTTGTACATATTATGTAGTTTACATTTTCATTACAATTGCAACAGAAGTAGTTCCAATTAGTGAAAAACTCCATAACACCAAAGTGAACTTGTTGACAGACTGATGAATCATCTAACATTTGTCATTATGTATTATAATTGAATATAATGTGAATATGTATATTTTATGTTACAGTAAAACTATGAATATAAAATTGATACATTTATTTACCTGACCTAATAACAATAGTCTTGTTAGTAAAACATAAAAAAATTGCAATGTACTTGTACAATTATTTAGAATGTTTTAGAAGATTACACTTTACAATTATATTTAATTATTTCTTTATTCAATAACATTTGGATGCGGTCATTAAATTAGCGAGCTATGTAAATAGCTTTGTTAATACTTATGCAGTACTTTATAATGAAATGTGGTGAGGAAAATAATAAAAAATTACAAAATATGACCGAGAAATGCACTTAAAATTACATTATTTATGCAAGATTGTAGTATGCAGTCCATGGCACAGATTTACAAAAATTCATCGCACCAGTCTTTCAAACACTGATAGCAGTCTGTGGACTGTTTTGAGTTAGCATTGCAGGTTTCCTTCATCCACTCTTGAAAGAGCTCCTTATCTTTTTTCAGTACCAGGAACTGGCCGAGAACAACATAAGCCTGTAATTCAAAAATTGCAACTTTGAGCATAAACTATTAAGTATGTCGACATTTACTACTATTTCAGTTTCATAAAGTGAATAAAATGTAAAACGATAAGCTATATTGAAACAACAATCAAGATGGAAAGTGACATAGGAGATTGTTACACAGAATAGAAACCAAGAGTGTTCTTATAGGTTAGAAATTTAATGCTCTTACTCTAAATAATTAACGTTCACGTCGTTTGTAAACAATATTGCAGTAGTTACCTTATCAAATCCGGCTGTTTCAAGTCTTCGTCCCAAAACTTCTCCGACGCCTGCTAATTCACTCACAGGTTTCTCTCCCATAGGCTCAGCAACGAAGTTTCTGTGCTTTTGCGATGTACTCGACATTTTATCAAGTTTGTTTTTATTGAATTTTAATACCAAAACAACAAAGTTGACTAATCGCGATATTTATTTTCAAATTTGATAGCAATAACAAGCTTAAAACTTGCGTAGCATGCGAATTACGCATAGCGCGAATAATCATAGAGTAGACAAAAGTAACCGTTTTCGGCGTAGTATAGCCAGCTTACTACTTTTACTACTAAATTTGGGGAAGTAATTACTTTACCAGTTCTTTATTTACCAGTTCTTTCTTGTATTTTTAGTTTGTGACTAACAATAATTAACTTGAACAATGAACGTTATTGGGTTTTTCATATATGGTCAAGTCAAATAAAAATTTTACTTGTTTTACCCACAATATATTAAAATGGTTCTATTTGTGATCGGGTGCTAGAAATAACTTTGTGGTAACATTAATACTGTGTTTACAAAAGTTACCGAGAAACGCGCATGCAATTATTTCAAAATATCGTTGCCGTCAAATCACTGTTGGGTAATTTTCCGGAAAAAAAAAATCTTTCAAATTGAAAAATAGTAGATTGTATAACAAGTGCAAAACACGTCGAGGGTAAAATGGGTTTTATGAACGAGTTATACACCCTGCTTATCACTTAAAATTAAACAGCAATATTACAAATAATCGATTCTTTAATTAAAATTGAATGTAAAATTACAACAATTATACATATTTAACGTGATGGGTTTTTATTTTATGCACTAGAGCATAAAATCCTATTTTATGCAGCCTACACCCGCATAAATACGAACTTTTGAGCATGAGAAGTACGTAGTGATAGTGATGAATGATGATGAAAAGTGAATTTCGAAGGCTCACTTTTTTATTATTAGTTTTGGCTTGGATACAAGTACTTTGAGCCATGTCGTCATTTAATTATCGGGATCCTCAGTAATATTTGCCATTGTAGTTCTAAATTGTAATCAATTATGTTTTCCCTTTCTCCCAAATAACTTAAGCTCACTTATTTCGGTTTATTAAATAGTCTTTTAAGCGGCGGGAGTCAATTTATGTTTTACTTTCACTTAAATCACAATTTGCAGATATAGGGATGGGCAATTTATAAAAATATCGATATAAATATACAATGTGTTGATATGCATTCTCGCCATATTTGCAGAGGTCATTCTAATCCGAAACTGAACCCAAATCTGGAAAAAATTCTTATTTTTTTTTTAAAGAATTTAAAACAATGTTGCGGTAACATTGACTTACAATTATATGGACGTCGGGTCCGCGCTAAAAGTGTCCGCACTTGTAAGGCGCTAAAATCGTATACAGAGCGCCAAACTCCGTTTTAGTCTTCATTTGTTCGACTAACAGCGCGATACTGCGATGACATTGCAATTTAAATTTCGAATAGGTTGACTTGGGACATTTTTTTCGTGGTTTTTTTTATTAGACCCGTCGTCCATTTATTTGTAAGTCAATGTGCGGTAAGCATAGATTCGCAATCACCGATCCTACTTGATCCAAAGGTCATTGACTTGTACGGTACAGGGTCAAGAGCACGTCAAGCTTGACACTTAAGATTTAAATCGAACCGAATCGAACTCTATGCCGCTTATGATAAAAATGGTTCAAATTTCAAAGTGTCAAGCTTGATGTGTTCTGTACGTGCTACCAAAATTTATAACGCTGCCGGAGTTCTGAAAATAAAGACACGTAGTGTAAACGAATTCCACTGCAAGCTTGAACGTGCTAAAGAAAAAATATTAAAGACCACGTAAAAGTACTTACTGTTCGCCGACGAACGTGTATGAAACATTGACGCGTAAGATTGACGCGTAACATTTTCGACATAAGGCGAAAGATATGTATCAGAATATGTATGAAAGTATTGACGTGTTTTAATGAAGGGAAAGACATGTGTCAGGATCGTAGGTGAAGGTGGTAGTCTCTGCCTACCCCGATGGTTACTTAGCTGCAGTATTCACACAAACAAAAATGCTATGGCAGCTCGACTAAAAATAGCCAAAAAATAAACCAATGTAAAGCAGTACATTGGTTTATTTTGGTTACTCCGCACTCAATAGTTTTGTCGATACCCACATTATTAGAAAGATACCCACATTACTAGAAATTCTGGCAAAGCGATAATTTTTAACTTGTCCCCATTGACTTGTAAGTCAATGCCTGTCCCTCTGTCCTTACATGATGCCTTTCTATTATAGTGTATCATCTACGGTTTTGTCTACAAAGTCTGTGATGCTTAGGCTGGGTGGCACCATGCCAAAGCCGTTAAAATTCTACATAAAAAAATCTGTGATAAAGTGTGATCTGTGAATCGGTGTGATGCTTGCTTTGACATTTTCGCAATTCGCCTAATTTTCATCTGTGATTTTCATCACAATTTTTGTGATATTCTGAGAGATTTCACGCACTTCTCATTAAAATAAAGTACAAATCACTAACTTCTATGTCTGGAAATTGATCATAGCCGCAGGGATGGTAAGTTATCTGTGATTTCAATTATTTATTTATCCATCGGTTATCAGCGTATGAATGTGTATTTATTTGTTTAGGAGACTCCAAATGCGGGTACCAGCTCCCCCGGGCTGATCGGCACGGCACCTATGCTGCCACCGCCGATACTGGGAGGGTTAGCGCCGCCTATTCCATCAACTGTGGCCATGCCACCAGTACCGGGCTTGCCACCCAGCATGCCCGGTATACCACCACCCATGGGTTTCCCTCCGATGATACCGGCGTTTTCCATGCCTCCGCCGGGTTTCCCCTCGTTCAAAGCCGTAAGTACTCACATGAAGTCTTGTTTCCTTTTAAATTTTAAATTCACCACATTTTAATGATCTTAAAGTATTAGTTTCAAGATGCGTAGGCTGTGATCATAAACTACAAATTCCAGGACTTGAATGCGCCAGCACCTGATGTAGCTCCAATGGCCAATCAGAGCAGCCCTTGGTCTGAACACAAAGCTCCTGATGGCCGAATATACTACTACAACTCTGTCACTAAGCAAAGCCTCTGGGAGAAACCTGATGAATTGAAAACTGCAGCAGAGGTCAGAATTAATTTTCAGATGATTATTACAGTTTTGTACACAGACTTAGCACAGGGGATCATTATAGTAACATATGTGCTACTAGGCTACATACTCTTCTAAACTATCTAAATTGAAAAGGCCATGACCAATTTAAAACAACAGTTACTGCATTAAGACTTCTTGCTTTTTAAGCTTAAGGAGTTTTCAGGGCAGGCAGGTGTTGACTGTGCTTCCCTTGTGTACCTACAAACCACAAGGGCTGTTCAAGTGTTGTTATGAGAACTTTTTGAACCTTTGTGTATAATAATAACGCAACACACTCATAGCCCAGCACTAGGGAAACCCTGTGTTGCGGGTGCCATGGACACACACATAGACAACCACAAAGTATACCCAAAGTCACGAGAGAAATAAATTTAGGTCATACATATATTATTTTTCCCAGGCTGGGAAGGAATCCAGGACCTCTGCGTGGCAGCCCAGTATGGTAACCGTTCAGAGGCAGATCATTATATATTCTTGATTATTTGTTTTTATTGGTCCCTACCAAGACAGACACTGTGGGTTCTGGCCTTACAGAGTCCATCTCTGACCATAACTTCTTAGAATAAATAGCATTGGTGTTTTTTTAGTTAACAATATCCCTAAGGGCGCATTTATCGACACCGAATTTCATCGCGCTCACCGCGCGGCTGCCGCGTTTCCGCCACCCAGCGACCGCGTGCGTCTAACTGTCACGGCAAAATCCGCTCTATTTATTTAGCTTTTACGTTTTAAGTTAAATGAGTGTTCCAGCGCGAGGGAGTTTGAATTTGGTCTACACGGCGGGCCGTGCGGCAGCCGGGCGGTTGTTGTTCAATTATTAAAAAAAAAATTATTCAGAGGAATTTAAGTATTGTTGCCTAGTAAATATAATTCAGTTTCGTCATAAATGTATATGAAAGCGTGGTAACTGGGTGGTCGCCGCGCGGCAGTCGCGCTACATCTTTCTCCTCGTGTAACTGGGCGCTAAGGATTCAATAAGATATGTACCCTAAAATGCTCAACAAGTGTTGTCAAAACTGAAAAATTACGAATTGTCACTGTGGAAAGTAATGAAAATAACAGAAGTTGCCACTATAAAGTGCATAGTTTATATTGTTTCATGTTGGTGGAAATTCGTAAATGGCATTGGATTACTCATATTTTAGTATACTATAATTGTATTATAATTGTATATTTGGAAGAAAATTTTAAACAATCAACATCACATAGTATTTTTTCCACACACAATTAGTAGCAGTTGAGTTCCTTGTGAAAGAGTTCTTCCAGTAAGGTACTGCTACCTTACCTATTTCTGCTGACAAGCAGAATGTCAGCATTACTTACTGCGTTCTGGTTTTGAAGGGCAAGGGTGCTGGTGAAATTACTGGCACATGGGACTTGTTAACTTATGTCTCAGGGTGACGGGCGCAGTGGCAGTGCTCCTAACATCTGAGATTTCAAGCCATCGAGTATATAACCAGAAATAGAGACGAAATGTCATTTAATTTGTTTGAAAACTATTCTGCTATATTATTACTGTGACAACTGTGTTCCGATTGGCTAGCCCGAGTTCGAAACAAATGACGGGTGTCGTCAACTGTTTCACTTCTGATCGACCAGTTAATTTGAACTTAACTATAAT